CTTTTTATGGTCATATACTCTTTCCCAAGCATTAAACCCACATTTCTAGCTATATCCTTGATACTTTTTTACCTGGCAATTTTGGAATAGCTAAACATCAACATCTATCTCTTCTTTTTTTTTTTTTTTAAGCTGTAGTTGGACACAGTGCCCTTATTTTATTTATTTATTTTTATGTGGTGCTGAGGATCGAACCCAGGGTCTCACACTTGCGAGGCGAGCGCTCTACCGCTGAGCCACAATCCTAGCCCCCTATCCTTTCTTTTCAATAAAACAACTGCTCCCAATTTCCCTATTTTTATAAATGGTACTTTCATTTAAGCCTAGCAGATTCATTCTGTAATCAAATCCCTYCCTTTTGGTCTTAACTCCACATTTAACTCCTCAAATCCTTTCCTAGAGCCACCGTCCTGTGAAATTGTGTATTCAATCATTTGATCATGTCATTCCTCTGCTTGAAGCTTTTTATCTATTTTTTTTTTGCACCTAGAAATAAAATTCAAATTCTTTTCCATGGCTCATTAAGTTTTCTGAGATCTTGTTTCYTCTTGCTTTCAACTTCATCATCTACTACTTATGGTTCACACTATAAAACAACCACAAAACTGTCTCTATATTCATGTGACCTATCAAATTTTTTCAGAATTGGAGTCTTTGCATTTCTGTTCCCATTCCMTGGAACACTTTTCTGGCTGACTTTCTAGTCTACCAGTTCTCCCCTTAAGACCTTTTAAAACTCCCTAGCCCCATATTCTTTGTCATATGTGCTCCCTATATTGTACTTCATATATTATGAAGTATTCTCCCCTGCCTCTCTGTTTTGGTGTATATGAGGCGATATTGGGGACTGGACCCAGGGGGTGCTTTACAACTGAGCTACAACCCCAGCCCTTTTTATTTCTTTATTTTGTCATAGGGCCTCAGTAAGTTACCAAAGCTAGTCTCAAACTTGCAATTCTTCTACTTTAGTCTCCTGAGTCACTGGGACTACAGGCATGCACCACTATGCCAAGCTCATTTTTTTTAATGTATCTATTTTATCTTCTTCTCAGCCCTCTTTCCTCACTAAGAATATACACACAAGAAGTTAGAGGCCATGTCTGTCTTTCTCATCATTTTCTTTGTTTAGTACCTGGAATACTATGGGTACTCAATAACTATTAAATTATTAAAGAATAAATCCTACTCTAAATCACCACTATCTCTTAATTTATAAAAGCCTCCTTTACAGTATCCTACCTCTTTTATTCTTTTTACTAAAATTGAGTCTGATCACAACTTCCCTGCCAAAAAAATGCAACAGTTCCTGCCTGCCTACCTATAATATTAAATACAAACTCCAAATTTTAGAATTCAATGCCTTTTTCAACATGACCCCTTTCCAATCTTCTATCCCCTATCACTTCCTCCTCTTTACACACTTTACCCTCTAACCAAATGGGACTCTATTTCACAAAGCATATTTGTAATTTCTTATCTCTATATCTTTTATTCTACTGTAATCTATTCCTGCAACTCCTCCCCTAGTTTCTCTATATCCAACAATTTTCCTTCTTCAAGCTATAATGCAAATGCAATTTCTTCCATGGAGGCTAGCTTCTCTTAACAAAATAAACCCTTTTCTTCTTTCAATCCCCAAAGCATATTATTTGAACCTCTCTTATTATTGTAGTTCATTCAAAGCAGTTTTCTTAATCCCTTTGTCCTCAGTAGCCTAAGTGATCCTTCAGATCACTTCAATTCATTGTTGGATGCCCTGCAGACTAACAAGTACTGAACTATTAGCATTTATTAAATTCAGTTAACACTATTACTTTTCTTCTAGCAAGATCTATCAAAACTCCACTCAACTATTATTTTCTCTGAGAACCCTCTTTGTCTTTCTCTTATTTAATCTGTCCATTCAGATTATTTACTGACCACATACTATATGTCCAATTGTTATGCTAGATACATGAAAATCTTAAAACATTCTTGTCAATGTATATCAACTGATGAATAAATAAAATGTTATATATATATACAATAAAATATTATTCAGCCTTAAAAATAATGATATTCTGATATGAGTAAAGCTTGAAAATACTATGGTGAAGAAATAAGCCAGACACAAAAGTTTTTGTATTGTATGATTCTCCTTGAGATATTTTAAATAGTCAAATTTGTAGAATAATGATTACCAGGGGTTAAAGGAAGAATTTGATATAATACTTAGCATACTGCATTAAGCTACAGTGTATTTTTCATCTTTTCCAACAACACAYTTGTATTATAAACTTTTAAACATAAAACTTTGCCTTATGTAGATCCATATTCCCAATCCTTGCACGGTAATTAGTATATAGATAATCCTATCTATTTTACAGCTGGCCAATAATAAATAACTTAAAAAGAAAGATGCTAGCTCCCCATATCCAGAAGATCACATGGCTCTTTTTGAGAAATACTATTCAAGGAGTTTCTTTTATTTTTAATTGATTTTTTTAAAAAAATGACAGTGGAATGTATTACAATTCTTATTACACATATATAACACAATTTTTCATATCTCTGGTTGTATATAAAGTATGTTGACACCAATTCATGTCTTCATACATGTACTTTGGTTAATGATGTCCATCATATTCCACCATCCTTGCTAATTCTCTATCCTTCACTTTCCCTCCCATCCCTCTGCCCTATCTAGAGTTGGTCTATTCCTTGGAATTTCTACATCCAGAGAAAGCCAGGTGAATTAGGAAATATTAAAGATCTCTTCCAGTTGTAGGACTCCAGCATAAAATTTTCAAGGTAGCTCAAGACTAGAAAGCAATGAGGAAGATACTTTGCTTGTCCTTATTCCTAAGAAGTACTACAACTTCAGGTAAGTTATACAAACTCTGTAGGCTTTTTCTCATTTGTAAGATATAAAATTGTTGGGCTGGTGGAATGCTTGCCTAGTATATGTGAGGCACTGGGTTCAATCATATAAATAAATAAATAAATAAATTATTAAGCAAATTTTAAAAAATAAAACAAAATAAAGTTGTTGCTTTGGGCCAGGGTTGTGGCTCAGTGGTAGAGCGCTTGTCTAGCATGTGTGAGGCACTGGGTTCCATGCCCGGGACTACATTAAAAAAAAAAAAAAAA